TATATATATATATATGTGTGTGTGTGTGTGTGTGTGTGTGTGTGTGTGTGTGTGTGTGTGTGTGTGTGTATAAAGACATGACTAGTTGACTCATAAATATCAATATATCATCTGAAAACAATAGTAAAACGTCAGACCTAGACTTGAAGGCTTAATGAGAACGTCCAGCACGTCGTAAAATGGCAGGGGCTTCATCTGGACATCAGGATGAACGGGAGGCATCAGAGAGGCAGGGTGCTGGAGGTTCATACTGGTTTCAGACTGGTATCGCAACAGCTTCACTGCTCAGGAGGCTGCAGTCGGTGTTACAGGACTGACTCCTGCTAACAGACAAAACACTGTCATTACAAGAGCTAACATGAAGCACTGTGGTTGTAGATACACACGCAGCATCACATGCCGCTGTGAGGAACACAACTGAGTGTGAAAAGATTCAGGAAAACTATTTACTATCTGAAAGTTTCATCAAAATCGTTGGTTACGTACTGTAACCCCAGATTCTATGAGTATAGGCATAGCCCTTTAAGGCAGTCGCTTAGTGGGTTTATCCTGTCATGCAAAGCATTGCACTGAAAAATTTAGTCCACTCCCACCTGTTGTGTGGGCCCCACCTGGTCCATATAAATTATGTTAAGAGCGGGTAATCGGCTCCCAAATAGCTTCTTCTTCAGCCACTTAGGAGCCAGTGAGGCCCGACGCTTAAAGGGCTATGCCTATACTCATAAATTTGGGGTTACAGTGCGTAACCAACGTTATATTTCATATAGGCTTCGCCCTTTAAGGCTGTCGCTTAGTGGGTTAAGGGCCAAGTGGATGTGGTCCTCGCCTCACTGGGTCCATTCGAACACCGTACGAAGCGGCAGCTTGCCCAAAAACGTCTTGTCACTCAGCTCCCCATGTACGTAATTACGCGTTGCGTAATTATGCGTACCATGCACAGACGCATGTTGTGTAACTATGCGTTCCGAATGCATGAACGCCTCAAAATGTTTCAACGGGGAGGGAAAATGCTGAAAGGAGCCATGAACCAACCAGTTCACGGCTGAACAGTATGAACAGATTAATAATAACAAATGAACTGATTATTAATCAAATGAACTGATTGGTAACAATAGTCATGAACTGATTAGTGACAATAAAACCAAAATAACAGTCACAACTTGTGACTGATAACAACATCTCACACTGCAAATGCATGCAGTCAGATGCGAGTTTAAACGGGGTTCCATGAAACAACAATAATATTCATTCTGTTAAAACACTAAGGACAGAATGTGTCATGGAACGAGCCGTCACATCACGTAAATAGAAACGAATGAATGAGCAGGGTGTTGACCACGTGGCCGCAGTGCAAATATCCTGCATTGTAATACCATTATGCAAAGCAGTCAAAGATGCAATACCTCTGGTCGAGTGCGCCCTGAGGTTGTCAGGAGGCTCTAAATATGAAGCTCTGTAGGCTTCAGAAATGGCCTCACACAGCCAGTGTGACAAGCGCTGGGTGGATAACGGGTGACCTGCAGATGCATCTCTATAATGCACAAACAAATGTTGAGTTTGACGCATTGCAGCTGTGCGTGCTATGTAACACGTCAACGCCCGCACAGGACAGAGCAGATGGAAAGATGCTTCTTCTTCTGATTTGTGGGGGGGAGGGAAAAACCCCTCCAACTATATTACTCTTGATTTAAAAGAGCTCGTGATGTTTTAGGCATAAAGCCTGGATTTGGTCTTAGATCAGCTGAGCTGCCGTCAGCCTGAATTCTGAGACATGACGGAGCGACAGAGAGGGTAGATAAATCACTCACCCTCTTAGCGGATGTTAAAGCCAGTAGCAGGGCTGTTTTAAGAGACAAGAATTTAATTGGAACCTGATTCATTGGCTCAAATGGAGCTTAATCAGGGCCCACAGGACCAACGTCAAATCCCACTGTGGAGCAAGTGGGCGTGAAACAGGCCTGCGTCTCTGTCCACCTTTTACAAAACTCTTCATCAGCGGATGATTAAAGGCTGTTCTGTCTCCACAAAACCTTCGTGACAGGAAGAGATGGATGCAGCATACGTTTTAATTGTGCTGAAGGCCAAATTTCTGTCCATCAGCTGCTGCAGAAAGGACAACACGCTGCGTAGTAGACATGAGGTGGCCTTTACACCTTTCTCTATACACCAGCGCTGAAAAGCTGTCCACTTTGATGTGTACAGCGCTGTGGTGGATGCAACACGTGAATCCTGGATTGTGTGCACTACATCTTGCGGGAGTCCCATCCTCTCTAAGCAGATCCGCTCAGCGGCCAGACCCACAGGTGCTGGCCTATTTCTGGGTAACTCCTGATCGCTCCTCCCGCCTGGAGGAGAGCATCCTCCCTCCACGACAGTTTCCACGGGCTCCCCGATAACAGGCGTCATGGAACCGGGAACCATGGTGCGTTCACAAGTTTGGGAACCACCAGGAGGGCTGCCAATCCCTCCTCCTGAACTCGGTTCAGAAACCGTAAAATCAGAGGAGGTTGGGGGAACACGTAAAGAAGCGTTTTGGGCCATGGGCTATGAGCAAACACGTCCACCCCCCAGCGGTGGTTCGTCTCGCAGGCTCAGTGAAAACCATAGTTGACACTGAGCGTTTTCTCGTGTCGCACACAGGTCCACGGCCGCTTTGCCAAATTCCTGCCACGTCTGGGCCATCAGACCGAAGTGGAGGATCCACTCCCAGTGACGCGGACCGCCCCTGGACATCACATCTGCCCCTTGTTCAGAACACCGGGGATGTACACTACTCTGATAGAGAGCAGATTTTGGTGTGCCCAACACAGTACTTTTCTCGCAATGTGTAACATTTGGGCTGAGCGCACACACCCATGCAGGTTTATGTAAGCAGCAGTAACCTTGTTGTCTGTGTGAATCAAAACGTGTTGATTCTGTAGCACAGGAGCCAAGTGTTGAATCACATTCAGAACCGTGCAACATTCCAGAACGTTTATATGAGCTGTTGTGAGAAAGGCCACAGCGCCCCTACAGCTCAAGATAGGCATGTCACCCCCCAACCTGACACCGACGGGTCTGTGAAGACTGACACATGTAACGTAGGTCTGCTGAAGGGGGCTCCCTCCGATAGAACCAGGGGGTTTCCCAGTGTCGGAGATCTGTTCTCACGGAGGAAGGAACAGTGATCGTCCATCTCTTTTTGCCTCACCAGATCCAAGCGCTGACGAGCAAACCATTTCTGGAGGCGTCTCATGTATAGTAAACCCAGCAGGGCCACTGTGTGAGCTGACAACATTGTTCTTAGCAGCTTTATGATGGAAAATAGCTGTTACTACTCTGCCCGGTCTTACGTGGCAGAGCTGGACTCTTAAGAGAGTCGATTCTCGTCTGTGATAAACGAATAAACGAGCCCTCATGGTGGTCGAGTTTAGCCCCACTCCCAGATAACAATCGTCTGGGCCGGGAGAATCGAACTTTTCCAATTTTATGGCGAAGCCCAGAATTAGCAAGTGTGACGTCAACACCTGAGCCTGTGCCGACATGTGAAGCGGTCTGCCCACGATCACCTTGTTGAAAAACTGAAAGGTCCAAATCGGTCTCGTTCCTCCGGTCCGTTTGGAACCAGGAAGTAACGTGAGTAAAAACCTGTGTTTTCCTCTCCGTCGGGAACCCCTGGACTTCTGCCTTTAGGGATGAGACCTGGTCTGGATGGCAGGACTGTCTCTAAAAACTCCTCCGAACGGAGGGGGTCGGGCTGCAAGTTGCAACATGTAACCCCTGCTATCAGCTTGGCCATCCATGTCTAGAGAGCAAGCTCACAGCCACTCCGCGTAACGTTTGTGGAGTGGGTGCGCGTTTAGGTGGTGCATCATGTTTTCAAGGATGTCAGCCAATCCACCGTCTCAACCGCCGTCATGAGCCGCGGGAGTGTGTTCCGTGTGACCCAAAGTCGAGGCTTCCTCGAAAGGGCTCTGAGCACGTCTGTGTGCTGCGCTCGGGCTGCGGGTCCACATTCATGTCTATGTGGACCGGTGTGTGTTGAGGAGAGGCGTGTGAAAACTGTTGATGCCGCGGGAGCGTGCGTTTGACACCACTGCAGTGAGACGCGTGTCGCTCCTGCCGAGAGCGAGATTCGTTACTGGGCTCGTTCAGCGGTCTCACGTTTATGTTGACGTGAGCGTGCGAGCACTGAGAATCTGTGTGCACCCCTTCGTCAACGCAGCGCCGTATGGGTGAAGGCTGCTCGCGTCGCGGGAGCACGTGTTTGACACTGCTTCAATGAGGGGTGTGCAGTTTGGGCTGAAAACGAGTTATTCTATTGAAACTTGTTGTGTAGACCATATTCACTTATGACTGTTGTGTCATGCTGGCGTCTCGCCTTGTTTTGGAGCGACAGTGATTGAAAAAACCTTTAAAAGGCCACCGGCTCATTCGTGTGAAAGATGTGTTAAGGAGCCGCTGTCAGGTCATCTGAGCAGGCAGACTGCCTAAAATAGACACTTTCATCATAAAATGATGTTTTATTCCAAAAACTCGTGTCATCTTCACACACATCCTCCGTAAACCATCATTTTGAGTCATCTCCCCCTGAGCTCTGCGGCTTGTTGTCTTAGGGCGCCAACTGTTGGCGATCTCCGGGAAACGCTGAACTTCCGAATGCCGGGGATGTCTGATGGGCGGGGCTGGCGTAGCAGAGCGGGGAGGCATTGTGCAGCTGTGGAGCGTCTTGAAAATGATCCCTCGTTGATAAAAGCCCTTCAACAAAAAGGCTTTCTGCAGCTCCTCCGAGAGGAAGGTGGAGTGACGGGCCAGGTGGACCTCTGGAAAACCTCGTCCTCTGGAAAACCTCGTCCTCCGGCTGCGATGCGAGACCGGCAGACAACAAAGAGACGCACAGGTTGAGGATGACGTCAGCTGCCTTGCAGAGGGAGCGTTACGTCTCCTCCCGCCTCTTGAATGTTGTACGCCAGTAGCGTAACATGTTGTTCGCTGCGGCCACCTGTAACGCATACTGGTGAGCTTGGTTGGAGAGCGACGTCACCGTCTAGTTATGCTTACCCGAAGGCGCAGGACGTTGGTCCAACCTGGACATCTTTGCTCCGAAAGCCTCCGCCAGGCTCGGCTCCAGGTGGGCACTGAGGGAATTTCCGCTCGGTGAAACCCCTCCACTCTGATGATGGGCGCAAATGTGGGAACCGGCGCCCTATTCTACCAGGAACCGGCTGCGGCCTCGACCCAGTAGGACGTCACTACTGGGAAAAACGAGGCCAGATGGGATCAGGACGGCGAGCCAGAGTGGAGCCCAGAAACCTTCCCGCTAGATCATCCAATCTGGGCGGGG